ATTCGCCACTATGGTCTACTAGTTCAGGATAATGCGCGAGCAGTTCGTCCCTTTGGGAATGGAGTTCACCCTTGTTGATATGACAGACATCGATAACATCAAGGCAGCAATCAAACCGAATACCAAAATGGTGTGTCAATGTCGAGATGGTCCATCTGAATGAGCCCTCAGGTATTCTCAGAGACTCCAGCTAACCCTCTTCTGCAGCTCACTGATCTTGAAGCCGTCTCGGCGTTGTGCCGAGAGAAGGGTATAGTCCACGTCTGTGATAGCACATTCGCTACTCCGGTCATTTGCCGTCCGATGGACTTTGGTGCCGACATCACGCTTCAATCGACTACGAAGTATTATGATGGACACAATATCACCATGGGTGAGTGGTATCTAGCTATTGAATCATGGAAGTCGTTGTCTTAGGTGGGGCTCTGGCTTGCCGTACTAAGGAGTTGTATCAGCGTATGAAGTTCATTCAGAACATGCACGGCAACATTATGTCCCCCTTCGTCGCCTTCATTCAGATGCAGACTGTTAAGACCCTTGAGCTGCGGTAAGGACAGATCCAGTTATTCGACCTGAGTGTTGTTGCTATCTCAGTATCCAACGTCAATCGGAGACTGCTATGAAGATTTGCAAATTTCTGGAGGGCCATCCTAAGTGCTCCCGTGTCATCTATCCCGGTCTTGAGTCCCATCCCCAGCATGAGCTTGCCAAGAAACTTCATAGGTGATGCTCTCTCTGGTTAACGGCCTCCATCTCACGATTCATCAGGGGCAACCTTCATGGTGGGATGCTCTGGTTCGAGGTCGCCGGCGGGCGTGAGTCTGGTAACAAATTGATGAATTCGATCCAGGCGAGTTGGAAGCGACCTCCGTGAAAGCAGACTTCCTTCTCGTTGCAGCGCCCTTGGTCTCTATGCGCACATCTTGGCCCTACGGAATCGATTATGACCGTTTGTGCAGTGATGACCCATGCCAACATGTTGCCTGAGGATAGACTCAGGTTGGGTATTGTGGATGGTTTCATTCGAGTATCAGTTGGAGTTGAGGTGAAGATGTTTACTCGTCCCATTATGGTAACTCGGGCTCCTTCCCGCTTAGGATGCCGAAGATCTCATCCGCAGCTTGAAAATGAGCTTAGATCAACTATGAACGCTTCTTCATGTTAACTTAAAGAACACACTCCGTGTTGTCTTGACCATGATGGGACTTCTGTTTCGAGGGTGCCTAAGTCATTGTGTTGTGTTGTCAGTCAAAAACTTGAGGACCCGTATTAGAACCCCCTAGAGGCAGCTGCTCAATTGACGACAGACTTGTTCACTGTTCGTCACTGCATTGACCATATCGACTTGAATTATTATCCAAATTTTTCGAAGTCCAAATACACTGCAGCGACATGTTCCACGGCAACGAAAATGATTGCTCGTGTCTTGAAAAATAACTAAGGTGTGGATTGAACCTCTGCTTCCGGCGTATTAGCAACCATTTTGTCCAGTTTAACCATCCGACTGCCTGTAGATTAATGTCAATGTGTACGTTTGATCCGCTTTCAATAACTGAACTAGCGCTCTTGTCTACGTGAAGTTCGTAAGGCCCACAATTCTATGACGCGCGCGTTCAATCTGGACAACTTAGTCGTTGTCGAAACTGATTACAGCTATCTTTTTCGACACTCTCCGCGCCACTGTCAGTTCCGATATAGGATGCAGTCTCGTCAATGAGTTATGACAGCATCCTTTCGGCAGCTCCTTATCGACAATCTTTCCCCACACCACCCGCGCAACTGTCAGTTTTGATAACTGATCTCTCGCCAGTTCATCATGATAACATACTCTCAACGACTGATCATCACATTTGAATCTTCCCGTGTGAGGGAGCGACCGAACTTCGCTTTGTAAAAACTCCAACGACTAGTAGGATCTACAAGTAGCGCCTCTTTGCCTGGAATATGGACGTGGGTTTTCCCCTCTACTTGTGTTTTATCTCGACTGATACGTGTAGTGTTTGCTGCTTGTCCATCTTCATTTGAATGCCTCCGAAGCATCACAAGCCGATCAAAGCCAAGGCTGGTGCCGGCGAGGATCAGTACGCGAACAGTAGTATCGGGTTTGCCTACGTTCACCTTACTCAACAGGACACGGGGGGAGGGGGTGAATTCTGGACATAGCACTTTGCGAGGTCGTCATAGATGTGACTAAAACTCTCGATTGTCTCGCTACTGCATGCCGCCCCCAAGTAGCCGAACCCGAGGCTCCCTACTATTGGTATCGGGCTTATCGTATCAGATTTCTCCTACGGAGCTGCAGCCTACGCATTCATAGACAATTTCATTTCCGCCTAAGGACACTTCATGGACAGGGCCAGCCGAGGGGCCAGCACTACGAACAAGGAGAAGTGGCGTAATAAGCCTATGATGACCATGGGCATGAACAGAGCACGTAGTAACCAGTTGGGATCACTATTGCCGAGGTACCCTTTCCCTGAGGTAGGCGGCATTAAGAATAGATGACAGATGAGGGCAACAGTCAAGTTGGAGGCCCTGCAAGCTCATGCGCGGATACTGGAGAAGCAAGTCCAGCCACAGAAGAGACGACGAAAGTAGGCAGTGCTGAAGGATAGGATCAAGTTATGGTATGAGCCATGCACCTCCAGTGTATTCATCACTCCCTGGCTTCCGACTAGCATCTATTGTAACGTACGTTTCTACCTACTTACCTACCTACCACTACTACTACTACTACTTCATCACGTCCCACGAGTAATAATGGCATACGTTGTGAGTGAGCTTAGAAGACCTGAATGTTGAGTGCATTCATTGGGTCAATTTAGGCGTGGAAATATCCTCTTGCTTTCCTCAGCCTTAGACATCAGTAGTCTTATCGACATCACTCAGTTATTATTCGTGGTGTGCTCCTGTTAAGATTCTTCTGCCCTGGTGTCGTTACGCTCTTCTCAGGAGCTCTGCTGTAGTATTGGGAATTCTCCCTGGGCATTTCCTTATGAACTACTCGAGGATTACCTGGACCCTTCCAAGTGGGTGACAACGTCTGTAGTGAGCTCGGAAACCGTAGGCCACGTTGGAAGGCTCTTCGTGGGCAAGGCAAGGGATGTTGCCGTCTATGTCTCTCCCACTGCTTTCAAGCGTATTTGCCGCCAATACGTGAAGGATTGAGTCGGTGAAGTTGCTCACTTTGCTGAGCTTGTCTACATTCTCAAAGAAGTAAGTCGGGCTTCACTGCCACTGATGTGGATTTTTACTAATCGTTCGTCTTTCGCCCTCGATCTCGATGGGCTCCCCTGTTCGCTCCTACCATAGCGACACCAGTGATGTACTGAAGTCCATGGTGATTTCTGGCTGTAATTGAACGGAGTGAGACAACACGTTTGACTGCAGACTAAGGGGAAAGCCATTCAGAGTCTCTGTGATGAAGGGGTTACGCTTCATCAGCACTCAATGGTCGCACTTCCGCCTCTCACCACTGAGCAAAGAGTTCTTCTCTTTTACCTCTTCGAAGAAGAACTGCTTATGGAAGTAGTCACAGACCGTACGCCTCGTTGTACAGGTCTATCGAGCGGCATTGCCCTACAGAGGCGATCGTGTGAGGGTCCGGGTCATCTCTGGCTTCAACTCACTACTGTTCCCTCCACTGAGATGTATTATATACAGCTCCTGATTAGTAGCAACCGGAGCCTCTGGTGAAAGGGAAAGTTAGCTCGACAGAGGAAGAGGAGTACTCGGGCTGGGCGTAATACGAGGGGGTGGGGGATATAACCAATGATATCCGGAAGCATTCCATAACAGGCCACCCCGACTTTGCAGTTAGCGCGCGCCCTGAGTCTGACGGCCGCGCTGTCGTATCCCTAGGCTCCTAGGATTCCCCAGTTGCAGCTCTTGAAGTAAGGTCTTTGAATGCTGGGATTTTCGAGTAGTGGATATATCGGTGATTTTCGAGCGGCATCCTATTTCCATACCATAAACTATGCATCATCAGAGCGTTTGTTTTGATGCCTTCCCGAAATGTCTAGTCTCGGTGTTGGTGGCATTAGCTATGGTGGAGGCGCTGGAGGTATTCTCCTAGCTGCTGGCTACAGCGAAGATATCAAATTTTACGATACGTTCACCGGGGAGATGCTGAAGACTATCGGAGGCCCGGGCTCGAGAGTACCAGGTGTCGAGGGCGTGGGCCTTCCAGCCGGTAGAATACCC